GGCATAAGTCAGAACAGTCTGAAGGTCTGAGCCGAGTTTGATGGTTGTAAGCTTTAAAGCTCTATGAGGACAGTCAGATATTTTAGCCTTATAATCAGGGTTTGAATTTATGTTTTTCACTCACCAGCCAATTTGGCTACTAAATGTTTAAGTTACCGGCCATTCATAACTTCTACTAGCCAAAAAATAAATAAATGAATAAATAAACCAACGGCTTGCGGCTGTCCACACTGGATGTGACAAAGCGGGCGTTGCAAATCACTTGAACTTTGTGTCAGTACATCATAAATAGAACGATGCATCAGTTTACTGTTTGTTGTGTCACGCCGCATCCAGTGTAGACACCATCACTGATCATAATGGGTTCGCTTGCACCCAGTGTAGAGTCTTCAGTCGTTTTTCACTTCAAAGCAAAGGAAGCCAGCGACCTGCCGCACCGTTATTTGTCGGGTTTGTTCAAGTAAGCTAGATAAGCGCAGATGCTGCAAAATTAGGCTGTATGTAATACATCATGATGAGTCAAGAGTTATTTATGTGCAGTAAATCTGTGCAGATTTGGCTTAAATGAACTTGCCCAAGTAATTAAAGAGTGAACATAATTTACGAAAAGTAACCTGCCAAATTGGCTAGTGATTTGACAGCGTTACCTGCCACAGCTGATTTTTACCCGCATTTGGCGGGTGCTAATTTCAAACCCTTAATAATAATAATAATAATTTCTCCAGCCAACATAATTTTTGTAGATGTTATGTGTCTACCTTTGAGTGCAGGTGAGGACACGTTCGAGCTGCATTCGGTGCAGCTCGAGCTGGAGGCTGTGGAGAAGCAGATCCGCGACCTGGTGGAGAGGCAGACCCAGCTGAGAGAGCGGAGAGCCGTGCTGGAAACTTCCCAGGCTGACACTCACAAGTCCAAGGTAAGTATACAGCCCGCTGCTAACTCTCCCCACCACCTCTACTCTGTGTGTTTCTCTGCACAGGCCCGGTGCACCCAGGACGCGATCTTCCCAGATGTCCTTCACTCCGGCGCCCGCTCCCCCTCCGCCGCCTCCGGTCTTCGAGATCTCCACCCGGAACCGCTTCGCTCCCCTCCGCGAGACGGAACGCGACGCTGTGATCATCGGAGACTCCATCGTCCGACACGTCCGTGCTCCGTTAGCTGAAGGTAAAGTGCACACTCACTGTTTCCCTGGTGCTCGTGATCTCGATGTTTCTGCGCAGATACCCGCGATCCTGTGAAAAGCGCTGTACAAATAAACTTGAATTGAATTGAATGTTTGGCAATTAACCTAGCCATAACATATATGGCAATAAACAGAATCCAAATATGCTATCCGTTGTGAGAAGAAGAAAAAACAACAGGCATTGTCATGTTGCAACAACTGCAGTGTAATTAGTGCTGGCATCCTTGGTATTATAGAAAATTTTGCTGTTACATTAAACTAGGGACCAGAAGAGCAGAGGTTATGCCTTCTTAACACAGAATGTGTTTACAGTCTTTGATGACAGAACTCACTGTCTACCTTCCCTTGTTACAGTCCACATTTGTGTGTTTTGTAAGAACTAAATAAACCAACATTTATTAACTCTTTAAATAAGAATACACTTCAGAGGCTCAAATACTTTCAAGTTGAACTTGTTTTTCAGTCTTGTGGCAGAGGTCTGTAGGAACGCCTGACTGAACTTGCAACTCCCCGGAGTGTTTTCTTAACTGTTTGGGAGGGAGATGTCACATGCAGTGTTGGCATAAACACTCAAATATGTGTGCATGTATCTTTGTAACATTGTGAGCTTGTAAATCTGCTAGAAACACTGCATAGACAGGTGTTAGAAGTCACAGCCACATAAGGCCAGAAAACACAAACGTCAACAATGCAAATTTTACAAGTGGAATATTAAAACCCTAATTTGGGCTGACAGTCACACTGAGATGGCAGATGACAAATGTATAATTCCAAAGATATCATAAGAGCCTGCATGACTTTCAAAAGTTGTGATACTCGTAAAAAATATGGCCAGACATAATTGGGACATTCTACCAGAAATTTACATTATCTGTCCTTGACTTGTTACAGTGAATAAAAAGTATTACATCCAAAAAATGTCTAAAATTATTTTCAATGAGCGACAGAGACTGTTGGTCTGAGTGGAGCTCAACTTTATGCAAATGAGCAGTGACAAGCAATAGGACGACAGTGATACACCACCTGATATTGTTGAACACTTCAACCTGATTTTTAGGTAGTAAACATTTCAATGCAGTGGAGCAATTTTGACAGTGGGACAGCCCTGACTTTATGCAGCCTAGAATTAAACTGCTGGTTTCGTCTGGCCAGAGTACGCAATCTGTGCCAGTATCTGTGCCACTATTTTGACATACTATTTCCCTGTTTAATACTGTAAAGCTGTACTGACACAATCGGCATTGTAAAAAGCGCCATGTAAACAATGGTGACTTGACCTGACTAGAAATGGCCAACTCCCTGGCCAGTGCACTACTTAAATAGGGAGTTGTTTAAGGAACATCCTAGAACTCTGCTTCTAGACTTGTGCATGTGAGTAATTATCTTAATTCAGTCTCAACAATCTTCATTCATAGATGCTGCTAGCTGGATCAACCTGAATGCCTAATTGCATTAAAGAACAGTGTAGTCTGATTCTGCATGAATTTTATCGGTCTGTTCTTTTTAATGAATCATCCACATCTTGCACATAGTGGGCTTGACATAAATGTCATCACCAGAGGTGGCTACAAGAATTGTTTACCCCTTGTGCAGCCCAAAATGTCTAGCACACACATACTTATCCGAGAGTGCCGTCTACACATTTGTTGAACTGACTGCAGTAACTGGTGGTTGGTGGCAATTAGTCTGAGCTGTTACTAAATTAACCTGACTCAGTTACTAAGCTGTAAATTGCATGCAGCATAAAACATGCCAAATAGGGGCGCCGCTAAGGGGGGGAAAGTTAGGACGATTCTAAGGGCCCATGCACTTTTGGGGCCCCCAGAGATCTGTTTTATTAGTAGTAACATTATCTACAGTGTATGAAGCTAAAGGTTTTTGGGTTAGGGTTCATAATGTAGAAAATTTTTAACATTGTATGCTGTATGTGCATAGGTAGCTAGCAAACAAGGAATACAGCTGTACATAGAGTAGCAGCAGGACGCACGTGAGGTTGTCATGGCAGCCAGATACACTGCGCTTCTATCTTGCCACACTAAACTTAGCAATAAACAAGTTGAAAATAATACACAATAAACATGTCTGTCAAAACGATCTCAAAGGAGGCTTTTATTAAGCAAATCAAGGAGTGAATTACTCATCCACTGTTTAAAAAAAATACTTTAGCTGGGTTTCCACAGGCAGGGTCACAATTATCTACAGTGTATGAAGCTAAAGGTTTTGCCTCTGTGTATAAGGCAAGGTTAAAAAAAAAAGATTGATTTAGTCAGTGTGGAAGAACTTGACTGGTCTGCACAAATCCAAGTCCTAATCCCAGCTGAACACCTCTGGTGTGACTTTAAATGCAGACCTTGAGCCAAAAACTCATCACCAAACACCAATGACTTGTACATACATATGGACAAATGTATTGGGACACCCCCTTCTTTAGAACAGAAAAAGGCACTTACAAAACTGTGGCATCAAAGATGGAAACATAATTAATGTATTTAAAAATTGTATTTCCATCTTTTTTGCCACAGTTTTGGAAGTGTCTAAAATGATTGTACGCGTATGTACAAGTCATTGGTGTTTGGCGATGAGTTTTTTTGAGTTTTCCCAATACTTTGGGCAATATAGTGTATGTTTGGTGCGGTAGGGGACCCAACCTCATATTCTTTCATAGGGCCCAAAATTGCTAGCGGCACCCCTAAAATGATTGTACGCATATGTACAAGTCATTGGTGTTTGGCGATGAGTTTTTTTGTTTGTTTTATTGAGTTTTCCCAATACTTTGGGCAATATAGTGTATGTTTGGTGCGGTAAGGGGCCCAACCTCATATTCTTTCATAGGGCCCAAAATTGCTAGCGGCGCCCCTGATGCCAAATATATAGGCAGATGAACAGGATCTGCCAAAAGTGAGAGAGCTACATGACTGCAAGTGATTACTTAATCCATATCCACCTTGAAATGAACCAATACCTGTTACTGTTCTTAATGCTGTCATGCTGTGGCAAGTCATTGAACTAATGTTTTGAATCGTTTGAAGGGTTTTCTGTTCTGTGTGAATGTCGCACCACCTTTAGAGACTGCTGACGGCAGTAAATGCATTTCTCAAAGGCACAAATGAACCAGAATTCCTAAATTATGCACACACACACACACACAAAAATGAAAAATAAAATAGTAAAGAATGCGTATTATGCCTCAAATCAAATGTTCTTAAAAGGCTAGAATACCAGACAAATGTTTTACTGTACATAACGCCAAATACCAGGCTAATTACATCTGAGACATTAATTCAAACAAATTACATTAGAAGCCAACACTCTTCTGCTTGATTTTGATCTGTAATAGTCGATTTAATAGTACAATCGATCTACAGCATATGAAAGCATGACATAACTGCGATCTCTTTCATGCATCAGTCAGTGGATGCCCTGACAATAAATGTCTGCGTACTTTCATTACGTGATTGTCATTGAATATACACAGCTATTGCTTCAGTATCAATTGTCCTTTTCTCTGTTTCCTCGCCCACATACATTACATTTACGATGCATTCAGCTATAATGTCCATTGATCAAAAGGCTGTAGCCTTTTGGTTTTACGCATGCATCTTTTTTTTTTCTTTTGTGTAATGCGTTCGCTCACTAAAGCTAAAACAAGGAATCGTACTGTAGTAGCCTATACGGCAGTGTTGCGCATGACATAATCTTTGTAGATCTAATGTTTCTTCTCCACTGCAAAACAGTACTAATCATAATTCACAAATGCACCGGCGTTTCGATTAAATGTACATTAAATTACAACATGTTGACACAGCCAGTCACTCACCTGAGCTATCAAGCGGTCGTCCAGGTGGATCATGGAGATTTCAGAGTAATGAAGTGCAAGCAGTAGAGGCGATTCGGTCCCGCCCAGATCCCGTCGACTGTTTCTCGGTAAGGCACCAACCAAATGCTACAATAGTGACTCAGAGCAACAGAGCACGGTTAACACTAGGAGGGTTATAGAGAGAGTATGAGTGGTGTTCAATGTGTACAACCCTGGGGAAATAAGTTTAATTACTGAATGACTTTGGCGGGGGTCGACCTTTTTTTTTTTTTTTTT